TTGAAAGTGTATTAAAAAAACAATCTGCATGAAAACAGTTGTATAGAACAAATCATGTGCAAAATTAAATTCTATCGTTATAAGGATCTGTTTAATTCGATAAAATTTTCATTTTCTTTGTAGGACAGACTTTATATTGTAAGAAATGAAGTACCACCAGATAGATTACTAGTATCAATATATGATCTGACACAGTGTGACACTACTGACTACACCTCTTATTATCAAGAACCACCTCCACCTTACAGTTTCCACGATGTCCAAGCTTACAGTAATGAAGACACAGCCACACAGTGTACATTAACCCGTTAATTGACCAAGAGAGGGTGTCAGCGAGTGAACAGATCTTCTAGTATATGATTCTGTTCTAAAGGTGTCACTACCGATTCTGACTACATTAAGTTATGAAAATAACTCTCTAGCGTATGTTTTGGAAAGAATGAACACATGTATCTGTTATGAATTGCCACAGTGTTTGTTGTTCAAAATGATTTCAGTCATCATATTCCTAAACCTGATAAACTTTTTATAGTGCTATTGTTTTGACACCCTCTCATCATGTTTAGAATCGGTAGAAGAGTAAAAAAAATCCAGGGTCATCTGATTTGAAGACGCTTAAAAAAGCAAGAAGGGAGTAATTACCTTAAAAATCACTACAAAGTTTTGAAAATCTCTGAGATGAAATTAATTGATCTATCTTTGTCTACTCCTAAATTGGAAAAGTCATGCTTTTTTTGGGTTTGTGCATACTTGCTAAAAATAAATTGAATAAACCATGCCATGAGAGAACCCCTTTGTAGCTTTCTTTCTTTTAGGGAGTGCTTCATCGTTCAACGAAATTTAAGGAAGAAATAATTTAAGAAAACATTAACATTTTCTCCAGTGTGAAATATGATAGCAGACGGTATCGCTGTATTAAAAAATAAAAAGTCTTTGTTTTTAAAAGATATCATCTACACCTAGGCTTTTTCTTGATGATCATTATTACCGTCAATATAAGTATTTTTAACAGTTTTCGGGAAGGGAAGAAGAGTTTTCTGCGAATTTGTTTTTTTTCACTGTGAAAATAACACTTTCGTCAAAGTGATAAGTCAAAATATATAAATTTATTAATCGGATAAATTACAGTACTTCATGTTGAAAATGTTTTAGAATATCTCCGTCTATTTGGGATATAATAATTTTGTCTTCATTCGATTTTGATATTTTAATATTTCCTGATAAATTTGATCTTTTATTTCAAGTTCCTTTTCTCTCCTCATATTAAAAAAAATCTTCCTGGATACCATAAAAATAAGTCAATGCAAGTCAGGTAAAGGAAAAGTGATATCTAAAGAAAACATTCAGAAGAATTCACAAAGGTTTGTTTTGATCGAGGCCTGAGTGTTTGCTTTTATTAAGAGGACCGATTGGGGTTTTCATTGCGTAGAATAGGAAAATAAAGTGTATTTACACTTTTAAAGAAATTATTTCAGCAAAATTTATCAAATTGAACAAACTTTATTATTAAGAAACCACAGGTAAAACCAACTTTAGTTACATTTTGAATTGACTTTTTAAAGATTTTTTAAACTAATAAGTAGATGTATGACGTTATGATAAACTGAAGTTCTTTAAGTTGGGGTCATAAAAAGTGTTATAAAAGAAAAAGTATAAACTATATGCTATTGAAATTTTAAAGATAAGAATTTGAAAATCCTACAATTACTTTCTGTGTAAATCTCTAGTATTTGTCATATTTTGTATTGCTCCATTTAAACAGGAAAATTTCGTAATTTTTCTCATTTTTAGATGCCCCCTCTGGAAACCAGACTGCAACATTCTGTGTTTCTTGCATATTGTATAATATAGTTTTTCCTCATCACATATTAAAATCTGAGAAAAAGTCTATTGTAGTATTTTTTATTATTTGCTTTGAAGTGCAGAAATAAATAAATAATAGATAAATAAGTAAATAAAAATAATAAGTAAATAAAATAATAATTTAAAAAATAAAATAATGATAAAAAAATCCCCTTACAATCCTATAGTAAATGTTATTGTGTTTTGAGATAGTCCCAACATTATTTAGACGATGGATTTTCCTGAAACTTTGCATGTACACTGAAGTCAGTGTAGGCTTTACATGGTTTTAAAGTAAAAAGTTTTTTCAATGGAGTCTACACAATAAAACCCCCTTAAAATAAAACCAGGACATGGTGTATTAAAATCTATATGAGTAAGTATTTTAAAGCATATTACTTAATTTTTATAAAGAATTTGATGCATTATATTTTGTAGGAATAAGTCATGATTTCATTTTATGAACAAAACTATCATATATGTTTCTGACTCGATTTTCTTTTTGTTAGATACCACTCGTTTTATTTTATTAGATTTGAAGAAGTCCTTTAGGGAATTATCATCGTCAATGTGTTATTTTTTGTGTGCCTTTGTGGCTTATGCATGAAATATAGATTGGATAAAAGGGAGTCAGCGATAAGGAAATTCATAATTTGTTTACCTAGTTTACATTTTAAAAAAAATCAAGTTTTATACACATTAATGAATACATGAAAACAGATAGCTCACAATCTGAGATGTATTCATTTTCTTGTTGTTTACTGTACATGTTTTGCACGTTTTAGATTCAGCATTAAATTCTTTATAAAGCTTGAGGAATTTCCGGAGCACATCCCTAGTGCATTTGCCTCTGCATACATTTTTCGGCAATAACAGAGACGGGGAAAACTGTTTTGTTTTATTCTCAATCCGAATATCCACATATCTATATCTAATTCCAGAAACCATAACATTGACACGTCGACTTAAATCCTTAAAAATGAAGATAGACAATTTGGTATCTCCAGACATTAATTTTCCAAAATAATCAAACTTCATGTAGTTAATTATCCTAAGGTCTGACATCATATTCCATCTTTTCAAAGCTACATATATCTTCATACCAAAATAATTTTCAATTCTTATTATCCTGTGATTTCTTAACTGTTTTCAAAATAGTTATATATAGATATAATAGTTATAAAACACACAACTTTTCAACTCTATATACTTCCATTCCCCACGATAAATTAAAGTCCAGGCTTTTTGACATCATTGACAGCTACCTTTTCAATAAAAGTGCAACTCGTGAATTTACTTACCTTGTCATTAGTCATTTGCAAAATTATTTTGTTAAAAAAAATTCTGATTGTACACAAAGTACTCTGAAGTTGATATTAAAATGATGCTTGAGTTTCTGATTGACAATATCTATGTGGTTTTTGGAGACCAGATCTTCCAACAATCTGTTGGAATTTCCATGGGTATCAATTGCTCTCCGTTATTAGCAGACCTTTTTTGTATTCAAATGACGCAGAATTTATTCAAAATCTTATACATAAGAAAAAAATCTCTTGCTTTGGCCTTCAACTCGATATTTAGATATATCGACGACATATCATCAATTAACAATAGTTATTTCCATTCATATGTCGACACGATATATCCTAATGAGCTTGAAATAAAAGATTCCACAGAGTCTGACACATTTCTTCCATATTTGGTTATTTTACTAGAAAAAGACGTTAATGGTAACCTAACAAGTAAGCTTTATGATAAACATGATGACTTTAACATTTTAATCGTCAACTTCCCTTACTTAGGCAGCAATATACCCTTATCACCTGCATATGGGGTATATATCTCTCAGTTGATTCGATACGCCAGAGCATGCTCTACGTATGAACAATTTCTACAACGAGGTAAGTTATTGACAAACAAGTCTCGTTTCAACTCATCATTTTGTAAGTTCTATGGTCGATACAATGACCTTATAAGCAAATACAATCTATCATTAAGTCAAATGCTGACTGACGTTTTTCATACTTATTGTTAGGCCATTATTTATACACTGAATTGTCTACCGATTTTCCCGTTATTTCTTGTTTGCTCTGCTCCCAGTTTTTATTGTTTTAATAGACTTTCTGAATACTGTTCGTTATCTTCATATTTCATTTTCAAAAAATTCAGATGTCTAGAATTTTTCTTGTTATAAAATCCAACCATGTTTTTTTTTCCTTTTTTTTTTTACGCATTAGTAATACATACTAAACACACAGCTAAGAAAAAAAAGCCACCAATAAATAAAACATAAAACGTCGGAGATATTTCATTTCTTCTTGGCGAGTTGCCAATAGACAACGGGCTTTTTTCGTCTGAAAAGATTATATTTAAAATGCTTGTATCAGCACAAAATTGGGTGTTACTGTGAATAAAAAACACCAGGAGGAAAGTGAAATTGACACCTAAGTACATTTATTATTTTAATTTTTCAAAAATATATTAACTGGTAATTCATGGTCATTGATTATTGTATTTAAACAGGTATCAACACAGGAAAAAAATGCCTTTTTATCAAAAAGGAGTGTTAAAATTTTTTTCCACGTAATAATTTCTAATGTGTAGCACCTAATATTTCATATATTTCAATTGCATTTAAACGAAATGAACTGAAAATTGACCAAACGTAAAGTTACCCTAATAAGCGTAAGATAGTGCAATTACCTGTCTAATGATTTCAGTTTGAAGGAAAATTAAAAAAAAAAATATCTCAGAAAAACTGATAGGGATCGATAAATCCAATTTTCACCTGAGCAAAAGATCAAATGTAAGTTTTTGAATTTGTAAGCCTTATTAACTTAAGTGTAATAAAATAAAATTCCCATTGTTAACACATTTTGATCAAATTTAATTGCTATCTAATTAAGATGTATTCAATTCTTTGGTTTAAATTTGCAGCTTGGTTATGTAATATGTCTGTGTACAATAAATAAATAAAAATGATAAAACATTGATGTAATAAGATTCAGTTATGTAATTTGGATATTTATTGAATGGTCTATGATAATTAATTCAAGAAACAAAGATTAATAAATCGGTTGCGTCAATATTCGTATTGACATTAGTTTGGGATTTCCAATCAGTTACTCATAAGAATTTCTATGGACATTTTAAATTTAAAGGAAACATTGCAAATTCATTTAAACCGAGTACCTATATACTGTTCTGGTCTTATAATTTCTAACCAGATGTTTCTTACTACTAGTATATCTTCCGTGTAGAGGAATTAAATGGGTGCCTCTGAACTTGCGTAAGTAAATTTTACTGATACATGTATATTTTGATAAGCACGTACATTGGACTTATTTCTTCAAATTTATTCACATATTACAAAGTAAATGTAATGAAAAGAAATGAAAACGAAAGAAAATAGAAATCGTATAAATCTACCAAAGATGATTAAACATATACGTCAACATTTAAGATGAATAGAAAGCTGTTGATAGAAATAGATATCCGCTGAAAACCTTGAATTGTAAGACATCATTGAATAGAATAATTGTCTATAAGCATAGAAATTTAGCAACCAACGGTGTATCTGTGTTAGCTTGAAATTTGAACATGCCAAAAAAGTTTTTATCATATATTTTAAAGATATGAATACGTCTTCGGCGCATTTGGTCTGTTCCTGTTCACATGTATCGTGCTTGCGTGGTGCTGGCACAAATGTGGTTGTAATAAGGAAAGAGCGCAACATACACATGGACCAGAAGCTGATGTAAGTCAGCATTAATTAATCTATTTCTATGCTGCTAAATTGTGTGTGTTTAAAGAGGAATTTTTATCTTTCATTTCCTTATAGAGCACACTTTATATAATAAGAAATGAGGCACCAATAGATGGATTTCAAAGATATGATCCAACTCAAACAAATCCTTTTGACAACAATGATCCGACCCAAAGAGGGGCTTTTGACTACAATTATCCGACCCAAAGAGGGGTTTTTGACTACAATGATCCGACTCAAACAGACGCTTTTGACTACAATGATCTGAGTCAAACAGACGCTTTTGACTACACCTCTTGTGATCAACCACAACCACCACCATACAGTTTCAACGAAACCCAAGCTTATCATGAAGAATACTTTTCGGACGACATGTACACTAACCCTTTCTATAATCAACAGTGGCCATTAGCTGATTCTGGACAAGTCACATGATTTCATATAAATATACTGTCCTTTCATGCTATTTAAAGACTAGTATCATTAAGTGAGGGGAACATTTTCCAGTATATCTTGTAGAATGAATGTTAGAGTAGTTCTAATGAATATCTTAACAGATTCAGTGTACACAACGATTATAGTAAGTAACCTTAAGTATAAAAATTTTTACTGTATTCAATATCATGTGAACTTTTTTTTCCCTTTAAAATCTTGAATCATTTGGCTTATTCCTTATATTATATTTTAGGGATGGCCAGAAGAAAGTAGTTCTTGATATAAACTTTCAGACGTTACGCGCGATGTTGGTGCCATTTTACAACTGTAGTAGCAGACCTATTAAACACATTGTTGATTTCAAAACGATACTGGCAATATGGGTGATTTTGATATAAATCTATAGGTTTTAAATAGAACTTCCTGATTCCAGTGAGAAATTAACATTTAAATTGATTTCATGCAAAATATAGAATTTTACAGCGCAAATTAAAAATATTTTAAGCGTGTAACGTTACATTTTTTAATTAATAATAATCAAAAATGTGAATAAGAATAAAAAGAAATAAATTTACTCAATTACAAAAAACTTTAAATAGAAACAAATTATATGAAAATTTTGTGTTTTTCATTAAGATTTAAATTGTTCAAGTTCAACAAAAATGTCCAGAGTCCAAAATGACGTGCAAAAACAAGATCCAGCCGTTACTCAATGGGTTAAATTCTTTTTTTTTTTCATTGATTATATGATTAATTATATGTGCATTATGTGCTAACCCAAACGGTCAGAATGAATTTCAGATTTACAAATTTACTCATTTAATTAATATTTTACAAAACATTTAGGAGGTTCAACATATTTGTCTAGTAGACGTTCATGACGTAAAGCACAAAAATGTGTTTAAGAGTGGTTTGAGAAATTAACAATCTTTATCATACACAAATCGAAAGCGCCCTTTTTGTTCATTTGTTTAATTACAGGTAGTTTATGATTTTTTAACTCATTTTTTAAAGTACAAAGAGATAGCGATAGGGCAACAGTTACGGTAGTAACACTATTAGAAGGGTTACGTCAATACTTGACGTTACGTAATGTTAAACGTCACCAACATCATGCGTAACGTCTAAATAAGCTGTCATTCATATCAAAGATTAACGATATATGCATAAATGAATATGAACTTGGAAATCCTTCCATCTTTTCTGTAACATCTTTGAAATGACGGTATTTAATTAATTATTTGGTGTTGCTATCCGGATATGGGCAGACTTACACTTTCCCGGTCTATCCTCAATTTTGGCCTCTATTTTGACTTTATCCCAATTTTAGCTTTACTTCCATAATGGACCTTTGGAATCTATACAAATTTTTTACCCCAATTAATAACCATTTTTTAAAGAATTTTAATTGAATTTAATAATTACCAGAATTATATTTTGTAAGATGCGTTGATGGCAGAAGTTGGAAGAAGCTTTGTGTAACTTTAGAGCATATGAGTCAATGAATTGTACACATGTATTTCCATCACTGAATGTTAAAACATCATTTGATTGGATCTACATACATCATCAAAATTGTCGGGACTGATCCAGGACAGGGGCTTATTGCATCTTTTAATTACACTATTACTGAAAAGGAAGATGTAAATTATCTATGAGGTAATTTTTTGATTATTATTGAAGCAAGCATGTGTACATGGTTTAAAAGAGAAAATTAAGAAACTGTTTCTTTTTGCATTTGATCTCTCTATTGAATCCATGTAATTTTGAGCATAGTGTGAATTTCATAATTTGTCGAATATTAAAGTTCACCATATGATCAAGTAAATTTGTTAATACTAAAATCCAATCCATCATGCTACATGTAAAATAGCTTATGTTTTGTGCTTTACAAACTGAAAAGGCAATGATAACGTACGTCTACATAATTATTGTTCTCTGAGAGAGAGAGCTTTTTTCTTAAGGTATGTCACTCGTGAAATTAGTTATATCAAGGATTTTTTGAGAAGTATATTTCAGATAAGTACTCATATAGCATGACTCAAAATCGCAAAGAAAATGGGGGTGGGGTGGGGGTGTCAGTGTGCATCTTACTGAGCTGCGGTACAAATAAGTTCATTTTTTTTGCACTTAAATTGTTACTTTTTGGTTTATCACTTTAATCATATTTTTTTTAGATGCAATTATGGCAATAAATAAAATCTTATTTTACATTAAATAGTTTGAATTATATTTATCATTGAACAAATCATGCAAATTAATGAGCATAAATTATTGTGTGACCTTTTTGCACTAAAAAAGTATCATATTTGGGGTATAAAAATAAGGATGTCATATAAAAAAGTAGGCAATAAAATATTTTCTTGTATCAAACTTTTTATGACTTAAATGCTGTTTGGTTGGGGGTATCGTGTTGCTTAAAATAATGAAAGAAAAAGTTGAGGTCAGTGATACATATTTTGAGATATTGCTCAAAATGTGCGATTTTCAGGCAAATAAACTTTGTAAATTTTATCATGATTTCTGTGATATATCTTCATTTCTTGGCAAAGTCTGTTAAATGAATGTGTAAAATATGTTCAAAAAATATAAAATGAGACCTCTATTTAATACTCCTAGCATATCATTAGGGAAAATATTCTCCAAGTAAAAAATATGTGGGGCTAAAGTTCCAAGATATTAAATTTAACAAATATGTAGTCTTGAAGAATTTTCTTCTAAATATTCTTCCACCACAAGAAATGGTCCCTCACAAATCTTGCTTTTTATGAATTTGTGTGTAGTTTTTTCATTGAATGTTGGATAATTTGCATTGTTTAATTTAAATATGTTATAAAACTGAATTGTAATAAATAGTTTTTAAGTTAAAGGTTCTGACTGAACTTTTCTAAAAAGCTGACGAGTGACATATCTAAATAGTATTGTTATGGTCATTTTATTTTGGACCCATTCTTACTATATTAACTCCACCTCTCATACATATTTAACTACCTAATCCTCAATCAAAGTTGGCAAGGTGAGTGAAAATTTTAAGCAAAGCAGTAAGGGCAACTCCTCCCCCATATTATTTCAAGCAGAATCACAGTGTATAACTATTTTGACATTCAAATACAGTTTAATATTGGCCAGATTCTAGAACAGATGAACATAATGTAAAAGGTATAGATAACGAACTATAATCAACCTCATAAATCCAGTGAACAAGTCGAATCGTAAACAGGACAAAAACACGGACCTCTGGAAATATTAGAGGTGGGATCAGGTGCCTAGGAGGAGTAAGAATCTCCTGTTGAGCAGTCACACCTGCCGTGAGCCCTATGTATTGTTCAGGTATACGGAGTACTCCGTAGTTAAATTTAAAATAAAAGCAATGAACTGAGAAATGGTCTGAAACATGCCAGACAAATTACGACCAACAGGTTATATTTGCAAATAGGGTCATAATATCGACTGAAAAGCCGACTTTAAACAGAGTTGTTGAAATCCTTGTAACATAAACTTATTTGACAGTAGCTTGCCTCGATTTAAGATTTGACATTGCTCAGAGCATGCTCCTGTGTATCGAATAAGTTGGGAGATATATAAATACCATATACTGGTGATAGCTAAATGTAACTACATAAATAAGAGAAATTTACGATGGAAAAGTTGATGTCATCCCGTAGTCATACATATTAGTTATTAGCTGGTCATTAAATGACCGACCAAGTGATCATGAAATTAGTTATGAAATGAAAGTTAAAGAAGCGATTGGAAAGGAGCGCAAAACCCGGCGTTATGTGCAGTCTTCCTTTGTAATCAATTGTAAGTTGAAATTTTGTTCACTAACATGAGAACATCCTACCGTGTATGAAAATTTGCACGCCTTTCGTTATTTATTAATTGTTTATATCAGTTTTTATATCAGATTGTGTAAAACACAGAAACATACAATTGATTTTTTTGGTTTTTATGTAGCACGGCTTGTTCAATAGAATAATTTTTTATGTTCTGGTCTAATAATTTCGTATAAAATATCTCCTATTTACTCGTATCTCCTGTTTTCTCTTCCTTGTTGAAAAAATGACATCTTTCTTAGGTTCACCGTAAGTAGTTTTGGCTTGTACAACTTTGATTATTTCATATATAACATAGATTTTGTGTACAAATAAGTACAGCAAACCTGTTTCTTTTTGTTTTTTGTTTTCATGTCTTGAATTATCTTTTTAATGAAAGTAAAAGTGAACGCTCTATCAAAGCGCTCAATGATTAATACCCTGGCTGTGTAAATAACCTGTGTTAATTATATATTAATCTAATTAATCTATAAATTACAGTTTCTTACACACGGATTTGACATCGAAAAACTTATTCTCTATACTGTTTAATTCTACTTGCCATTCTTTTGGAAGTGTTTTCATGGAATTCTTACGTAGTAAATATCTACATATTCATAACACATATTAAGTTTCATTGATAACAGGACATCTTTTGTTGACATTAGTGTCTTGTACAATCAAAGCAGGAACAAATAACTCTATATCAATAAACAGAATTTTAGAGAACACTATGTACCCTCGTATTTCAGTATAAAACCATCATCTACTGACACTTCTAACCTAATGTTGATATTTTTGTATAATGATAACCAAATAATGACAATGTTGTGACCATAAGCACACTGTAAAAGAATTATCATGCACAAAAGTATTTGACTCACCAATCAATTTGCACTTTAACTGTCGGCTTTCACTTGAAATTTTATTCCCTGTCGGTCTTCGTCAGAGACCTCAACTCGTTTGGGTTACCAGTTCTTTTTCCTTCATCCCGTCTCTATCCTTGAACTCGACCGGTGTAAACAGCTGTCATTTGAGTTACTCTGTAATGATTAGAGTTACCTCTCCAAACTCCACAGCCTCTGTAGTAACCACCTTTACCTCTGATTTCATAAGGCTTACCTGCTACATTACCTGTTTTCCCATCCAATTATTCTAGTATCTGATTAAAGATCTCTTCTTTTTTACCCTCTAATTTTGTCTCAATGTTCCTCTTTTTTTCTAGAAACTTGTCGTTTTAGTCTTAAGATATTGTTATCATGTTGATAAACTGTTTTTTTTTTTTTTTTTTTTTTTTTTTTTTTTTTTTGAAATGCTTGAACGTATCTAGAATTTCTTTTTCTTCTCAGTTTTAACAACAAAACTTTTATAGTTCTTGATAGCATCAAATTAATGTCTGGTTTGAGACGTACGTTTTGCTGAAAACCAAAACCTATTCTATTCCTGAATAAGTCATTCCTAGAAGCACGATCAAAATAACCATTTTATAGGGATTCTGAAAAATTGTTTCAAGCCTACATTGAAAATTTATTGCACACTTACCTGGTAGCTGAAATACGTTAAATATTCCTGTATAATTATGACATTTTTAGAAATTTCACTAATCAGCTTTTTTAGCACTGGCTTTGTCACATAAAGGAATCAATATGGTTTCTGCTTACCCCTTAATGATTGTCTTATACTTTGTATAAGAAGAGTTGATTTAATAACAGAATCACTTATCAGGCACTGTACGCCCAACCTCCACTCTTGATAGAAAACACCCCCCTTTTGCACATTAATAAAAAGTTAAAGACACATTTATCACTGCAACTGATAACTGATGTATAAGATCTTATTTCAAAATTTAATTTCAATGAGTTACATCATTGAAAACATTAAAGGTGATATAATTCAACTTCTTCTGTCCAATTTTAAAATTCAGTTAATCATATATAAAGGAAGGGGGCGTACAAGGCGAGGACAATCCCCCGCACTGTGACAATATATTTCTCAATTTTCAAAGTTCACAGAAAAGTTATATTTTTCTAAAATAATGTTTTCTGTAATATCATCTTCAACACATTTGATTCAGTTATTTTAATGAATGACTTTTCGATTAATAATTTGTTTTTAAACTTGACAGTAAAGCATATTTAGTGGAAAATTGGTTTATTAGAGCCATAAAAAATGGTTTGTTGAATATGAATGGGTCGTCTCCATTCTTCATTAACGTTTATATGACGGAAAAAGAAAATGTAAAATTTATATTATGTTTCAAAATAATGGAGCCTGAACTCATTCTATATGAAAATCGAACATTCCTGAAAAAAAATTTACACTTCAACAAACTCGTTAATTTAAATCACACTGACATCAAACAACACAAGCAGACTTCGTAGCGTAGTGGTTAACACGTTTAGTCTTACGCCTAACAGTGAGCTTTGGAAAGAGTTCGAATCATGCGTGAAGCTTTTTTTTTTGTGTCACATACCTTAAAAAATTAGTGAAAAATAAATTATTTGTCAATAATTTATCCAAAAAAATATAGGAAACAAATGTGTGAAAAATTATATTGACAATATAATTTTTGAAAAATATATCTTTTCATGAACTTTTAGAATTGAAAAATATCTTCTCTCAGAGCGGGGGATCGTCCGCGCCTTGCACGCATTCATTCTATTATAAAAGTCTAAACGGCAGCCACACTCACAGTACATACACAAAACATTCTCTGCTCTGTCTATGGGCTGAAAATAATTAGTTAAATAAATGCATACTGGTTAGAAAGTGAGCTAGGCTTGCTGTTAACAATGTTAAAAAAAAACTTCCCGATGAAGCGAAGCCAAGAATCTGCAAATAAACAGAGGGTCACAACTTCTATCAAATATTTTCAAAATATAAAATATATTCAAATAAAGTCGTTAAACAGAAATTCAAAAGCATATAGTAATTAACTTTTTTCTTTTTGGAAAAAAAGAACCAAAAAAAAAAACAAAACAAAACAAAACAAAACAAAACAAAACAAAAACAAAAACAAAAACAAAAAAAAATTGCAGTAGTACAAAAAGGTCAATGTAATGTCAATATTTTCATGTAAATTCCTGGGTATAATTCGTTTAATTATTGATTCAGACTTAAGGAAAAAAAACTATTTAGGAACATCTTTTCTTCGTGTAAGTTCCTCAGGCACTGGATGACAAATGTAGAAACGGTGCATTTAATTTTCAACATGGAGTACCTGTCGTTCTCTTCCAGGAAATATGTTTAAAGACAACCTCCAGGAAATATGTTTAAAGACAACTTAGTAGTGAAAAAGCAGTTTAAGTGGCTGACATTGAAAAAAAATTAAAACACATGCAAATAAAGTTTTTAAATATACTAGTAGCA